TCTAGAATGCTCCCCAAAAATCTATAAGTACCACCCCTTTCTCACATCCTAGACACACAATCTAACCTAGACACAAGAAAGCCTAGAGATCCTACACTCACTAGTGTAGAGAATACCCCCTTCACGTCCCAAGCAGCCCTAAGCTTCCCTAACCCATGTCCTTCACTCTTTCTCCACCATCTCTCATGTCCCTAGAGTCTCCCCATACAGTGTTTCAGTCTAAGAGCTCCCCAAGTTGTGTATACATTGAAGAGACGAAGCTGAAAGCATTCTTGAAGCAAAAAATGGCACAGTAAAGCATACACATCTCCAGCAGCATTCTCTACACCTTGACCTACATATTACACTGATTGACAACTTAGAATTCCATTGAATGTCTAAACAAGAAGACTCAAAGAAAGAACAGTCGTTGCAAGAGACACGCAAAGGACTGCATGAGGAGGTGCCAAACATGAGCAAGGTTCATAAGCCGTAGAAAGTTAATTACTTGTAAATTAATTACTTATTCTTCTTTAAGCATTATAATCCTTTGCTCTATTCCCATAACAGATCAGATCAAGATGATATTGTTCATTTATATACATGATTTTTCTAAATAGGTTACAAATTAGTTTGTGTTTCATTTATGGTTACCTCCATTAGTTAGTGCCATATGAATATAAGTTGAATCTTTGTTTTTTTTTAATAAATTAGAACTTTGATTACTTTTTTGGTTTTTTTTTCCACTTTGTTATCAGTAATCAAGTAGGATTAAAACGTGACATTGTTAGAGTTCTTAATCATTTACATGTGCATTTGCATCTCATAGCTTTTACTAATCTTCATTAATCTAGAAATCATTTAACATTTCTTTTGTTTTTTAGTTTATCTTTTTCATTGATTCAGTTTTAGTTCAATTCTAGTCACAATTGTTGCATTATAGTCATTAGATTTTCACCCCAAGCATCTAGTATTCTTAAACAAAAAAAAAATGCATTAGAAATTAGGGTGCATCAATAATGTTTACATATACATGTAAAAAGTTAACTTGGTTTTAGTTACCAATCCATGCATTTAGTTCATTTAATTCTAAAATAACCATAGGCCATCTCTAGGCATCACGTCTGGGTATTAGGTATTTTTTAGAGTCATTTCCTAGACATTTCATTAATTAATGTGTTGGTTTTGGCAATCACTCTTAGCACCATTATCCACTTTGTTAATTTAGTATTTTTTAATGTAGTTTTTCATTCAATATATTATTTTCTTCTCTTCTTTTTATTTTCATAAATTGATAGATTAGTTTTAGCTCCCTTACTCATTAATTTTACCTCTTTTAATTAGTCTCATCTTTCATAATTACTTGTTCTTCAATTGAATTATTTGTTATGTTTGATCATTTACTTTTGTTCCTCTTAATTTAAGACAACTCATTAGCTCTTTTCTTGGTTCATTTGTCGTGCTTAATACATGTTGCTTAAATAGATTCAAAGTCCTAAAATTATTAAATGTTCCTTGGAACTTTGATAAAATAGAGGCCAGTTTAACCGAGCGAGTGTGGGGTGCCTAACACCTTCCCACACCGTACCTTGGTCCCTGGACCATAAGAATCTCTATCCCATTGGGCAACGAGTCACTAAGAAAATTTTTTTTTTCTTGAAAAATCTTGGGTTTTCCTAAATTCCCAATTCCAAAAATTTAGGTGGCGAATCCAAACTCCATATCCAAATCCGTCCCCCCCCCTGGGTCGGGTAGCCACACGGGCCATGTTCGAATGACACGGCACTGCTTGCATGCGGATCGCACAAAGAGTGGATTGTGTCGTGCTGGCCCGTGGGCCGAGCCATATCATGCTTTCATCCCTTGGGATAATTTGTGGGGTTGGCCCGACACGACCCACAACCTGAACCTGCATGGGCCCATGCCATGCCGCGAGTCTGGGAAAAGCGAGCTATAGGTCGTACCGAGTGGGAATATGGGTTGAGCCTTGTGTCTGAGCCGAATCAGGCCAGAAAGGCCCATACTGATTTTTTTTTTGTTTTTGACAATTTTTTTTTTTGCTAAGTAAAACTAAAATACTTAACWTTCATTTGGGAACAAATTGAAAAAAAATAAAAAATCTAACAAAGAAATGAAAAAAAAATACTTACCAAAATACAAATTGTAAAAAAAAATATGAATTTTATTTCATTTAAAATATAAAAAATTATAAATTGAAAATAAAAAATTATATTGTTGAAAAAATAACAAATAATTTAAATAAAATTAAAAAAAATTACTCCATCTCCATGACTTTAATCATCTTTTTCATCAGGTGTAGTAGCGTCATGCCCTCCTTTGTCTTGTAATTTATCCTTAACATCCAACAAGTCTTTGACGTAGATGTCTTTTTCTTGTTTCTCATAGAAGAGAAAATGTCTATCCAAGTGGCTAGTGCTACCCTTGCTACTGAAGCTAAAGTCAATCCTACTTTTTTGGCAAATGGCTCTTTTTCCCTTCCCTTCAACTTTATCTATTTTAAATATTTGCTAAATTGGGCTAGTGAACTTAATGTTAGGGAATTAGTTTGAGGAGGAGCCGATCAATTGTTTTTTAGTTTTAACAAATAAAAATTGATTTAATTGTAATTACTCGGATGATCTGATTACCAATTTAGAATTTCAACTTGATTTTAACGGTTGAAGTCTCAAAGCCTCCTAAATTGCTAAGTGTATGATAGTATGAGACTGTATGAGATGAGAGACTGAGAGTATGAGAATTGAGAAAAGAATTGCTGAATTGGTGTGATGAGAATAGTGAAGGATATGGCTATTTATAGGAAATGGAAATAATTCAATTGCCCAAAATACCCTAAATACTAGCATTTTTTAGTTGCTGGGAGGGGTATTTTGGTTATTGTAAAGATATGTATCACTTTACCCAAATGCCCCCAATGTCCCAAACTAGTTGATATATAATTATAGGATATAGTTATTGAAGGGGCATTATTGTCCCAAACTAGCTATTTGTAGGCTTATAGTTGTTGTTGATTGAGGTGGTGTGTTAGTAAAAAACCCCTGGAAATAGTTGAAACTAGCTGTTTTAGGGGGGGGGGGTCCCCTAAGGGCCTCAATGGCTAGTTTCTCGAACGGGCTACACTCGGCCCATTGTGGGTTCGTAGGTTGTGCTACTTGTTGGGTTGTGCTGTGCAGGTCCATGGACTTGAAACCCCCAACTCAGCACGATCCACATGATCATGTTGTGCATGGCATGGCCCGCGTGCTGTCGTGCAGGGCTGGTTCAAAATCGTGTTATGGTCTGAAACAACCCGATTTACACATCTAATCCTCTCCCTTGGAAAGAGGGGTGTTCAAATTTGGATAAAAAACTGAAAACTGAACCAAAACAAACTGAAAAAGCTAATTCAGTTTTTTGTGTTAAAAATTTAATAGAACCAAATAGAAAAGCAAACTACTATACTATATATAATTATATATTATATAATTAATTATTTATATTAATTGTATTATGTTTTATTAATTTAAGGGCAAATTCCTGATTAATACCTTGTACTTTGGGCCTAGTGTCATTTTGGTCCCCAAACTTTAAAATGTGACAATTCAATACCTAAACTTTCAAAACGTGTCAATCCAGTACCCACCATTAACCAGACATTAAGTGGCATTTAAAAAGACACAAATGCCCTTCGAGTGTCATCTAATTCTCTTTATCAACCATTCAAACATTGATAAAAAATAAACAATGCCAAATCATTGCCTCTTCTATTCAAAAAAGTTAGAGTCACTAATTGGGAATTTTCCCATAATTTTAATTATTGTTTTATATATTACTCTTTTTCTTAAATCTCCCTTTGGGCTTTGAGCCCAATCGAAATTTTTGTTAGTATCAATACTAAATAAGAACATTTATTTAAATTATTAGTATTTAGTAATTACTAGTAACTAGTAAGTGGGAAACACAAAAGACAATCACATTGGAGTTGCCGAATTGGGTTAGGAGTCAAACTTTCAAAGAGTAATTACTAAGTAGTATTTAGTAATTACTAACTCTTGTTTGATTTTTCCCTTTCTCTCCCTCTTTCTACTAACTCAGTCCTTTTATTTTTTTAAATTCTTATGGATTGGTTCAATTTTAAATGCTGTTTGGCTTGGTTCAGGTGAGGGATATGACCAATTTGAATAGTGGGTTAGGTCATCGGTTTGAACCGAACCAAACCGAATGTACACCCCTACTTGTCATATAAATTAAACGGTTATGTAAGGGTCACTTTCGTCATATTATTCTCAAATCATACCTTGTATTCTGATAGAGTCCCTCTTTTATATTCGAACGTTTTCAAAATCCCCTCTCACTATTTTGTTCCGCAGTCAAAGGGCGCCAGTTTGTGGTGAGTGGCCAGCGGAATTCTTGGGTTGGGGCTCGAAGGAGATGAGAACAAGAGATAGGGAGGGGAGAGTTTGAATGACCTTAAAACTTTTGAAAGAAGCCCTATTTTTAAGTTTTGTCTTTTTGCGGGTGGTTGAACCGATTATATCCATTAAAATTAGTGTTTTTTCGAAATGCCGATGTGATCGCTTCTGGTTGGCAGGTTTACGTATCTAGTGAACCCACGGGTGCACAGAACGTGGACTTTCACAATCCGGGATTCGAGCCCAATTTTACACTATCTCGGGCTTGAATTTCCACCGGCCCATTATAATATTGACAAAAGCCAAGGTCGAGTCCGGCCCATGAACAGGTTTCGGACGTTCTGAAAATTCCCTCTCCCCACTCCGTTCTTTTTTTTCTGTTTGGCTGCTTTAGATGGAGGTGAAGGACGTGGTAATTCTCGAAGGCCACCACCGCTCGATGATTTCTGTTAGAATTTTAAATATACCATTGTAAGAATCGTGGTAGTTAGTCTGCGATCTTTGATACGCTTTACCCTTTCGTTTAAATTGATTTCGTAACGGTCTAAATCCTTACCAATCGACCTGAGAGCAAGAGATCATCGAGTAATTTCTATATAAGAGTTGGTGCCGTTGTAAGAATCGTGGTAGTTAGTCTGCGATCTTTGATACGGTTTACCCTGTCATTTAAATTGATTTCGTAACGGTCTAAATCCTTACCAATCAATATGAGAGCAAGAGATCATCGAKTAATTTCTATATAAGAGTTGGTGTTTTCCATTCAGAGAAGAGCTCGATATCATGCTTCTAGAAAAGAGAAAACAGAGAACAAAACCACTCGATTTYCTCAGACTTACCTGCGAATGGCGATCCATGGCTCCAGAGCCAGTTCATTCAGGTGGAGCTTAGCAGCTTGAATTCATATGTAAGTAATCCTCAAAACCCTAAAACCCAAGTAACTTTCTTGTTTGTGGGTTACCTCGATGTTTTGTCTGTTTTCTTGATCTTGCATTTGAACCTGCAACATTGGCGACTGGTTTCTGCAGTTCCTCTCAATGAGGAGGGAGCTCGGGCAAGTGACAATCGGACACTTGTCTTCCAGGACGTCGAAGCTGAAAACCGTTGGAGAGTCTTTGACTGTTGAAGAGAGGGCTGCGTGTTTGCTCGAATCGTATCGGGACATGGATGAGGAGGTAGAGGATTTTGAAGTCTTCCTTCGGGTGAGTACTATTATAGGATCTGCAGTTTGAATGCGTAACCGTTGAATTTGAATTCATTTTTTTTGCAGTTTATGGTTTTGGGTTGAGAAATTGGTACTGGGATTAAGGATTTTAAGTAGAGTGAGAAAATCATATCGTTACACGTCTATTTGAAACTGCAATCGCATGTTAATGCTAGAATTGGTAGCGGAGCAAAGATTTCGACTGCATTTCTGAAGGCTGCTACGATGACATTGCTTCACACCATCAGTGGATCTGAGAAAACGTCCTATGTTTCTTATATAAACAACTACCTAGCAGAAGATCAGTTCTTGAAGAGATACCTTCMTATAGATCCTTCCACTAATGATCTCTTCGAGATTGTAAAGGATGGCGTTCTTCTATGGTGATTTCTCTGTTAAGCCCTTTGCTTTAATTTGAATTTGGAGATGGTTTTCTTTCTTGGTTTTGGGGCTTTGTAATCTGAAGGCATATTCTTTGATGTAGTAAACTTATCAATGTGGAAGTCCCTGGGACCACTGATGAACGAGCAATCAATACTAAAAGGGTGCTGAACCCTTGGGAAAGGAATGAAAATCTTACACTATGCCTCGATTCTGCTAAGGCTATTGGGTGTACAGTAGTCAATATTGGCACGCAGGACTTCATTGAAGGGTAAGTATGTATACATGCTGTTTCAGTCGTTAGTTCTTTTCAGTTTTCAAGAATATTTTGGTCCTGTCACTAGTTTTTKTTTTAGGGTGATGTTTTATCACATTTTAATTGTAATCCCTTGCTTTCTTTTTTAATGAAATTTACTCTTGAAAAAAAAACTCCTTTGTTCTCTAAGCTCCTCATATGGTGTTAAATGATATGAGGACAGAATTTGTGGGGGTAGTTTTGTAGTGCCCTTGTCCACCTTACTTTTGTGTTTCTTCCATTCTTTTTAAATACTTTCTCTTTTGTTTTTTTTTGTACAGTTAATGTATAGGAGTTCCTGGAATTTGGAGTTTTTAATAGCTATTGCCCATATGCCTAATCCATTCTCAAATATATATGAAAGGCGATGTTTGCATGAATTGAAACTCAATATTTTAAAAAATGCCTTGTTTACATGGGTAATAGGAAGATAAAATTAGTTTGAGAGGAAAACTTTGTTAGCTCAATTTTTTTTTTGAAGAATCAAGAAAAAGTTTATTAAAAATAAAAAGGAAAGAACATGGGTAAGTGCATTTACCCAGGTGTGTGACTTACCAAAAAGTGAACGGGGCCATATAGGTAAGTGTCCAATGGAACAAAATATCATCTATTGGAACATATGGAAAGAAGGAAATAGAAGAATCTTTGAAGATAAGGAACGGAAGCTGGATAAATTAGTGGCAGCTGTGGGTAAATCCGTTGCAGATTGGGTCTTAATTTTGCTAGAGTTCTCTCAGCTTTAGAGAGAAGATTTGGGGGGAAGTTTATGGGAGGTGGAGGGGATTCRAAATTGTAATCTGGAAAATTAAATTTGTAATGTTTGTGTAAAGTTTTTTGGTTGTTTAGGTGCTATCTTGTCACCTATCCAGATTGTACTCTCTTTTATTTTAATGAAATTTTCTTTTTTTACTTTTCAAGCAAAAAAAAAAATTGTAGCTAGAAGCAAACAACCTTGCATAATTTTTCCCTTGGTAGAAAGACCAAAATGATAAAAAAATGGGTATGCAATGGTTTAGTTCCAGGTAGTTTTCTCTTTGTATTTTGGGTATCCCATGTTTTACAACTGGAAGCAAGGCTTTTTTTTCTTTATTTCTGTTGATTTTTTTTTATTGTCTTCAGATATGTGATAAATAACTATATGTTGATAATATTTGCAAACTGAATGTTAACAGAACATAATTTGTATGATGCTTTTGAATTTGTTAAAATAATTGCTAATTTAGCATGTTTGGCTGAAAATAGGAAATTATTTCACATCTTCCTCAAGCAATTCCTACTTGTATACAAGAATTGGGTGCCTGCATTTTCTCTCCAGTTGCCTGACATTGCTCTATCTACCTCTGGGGAGTATTCATCAAATTTTGATGATGTAATTGTTAGGCTGCTCTGTTGGACATCCTACTGAAATAATTCTTGTTCTAGCTCAAGAGATAGCACAATTAACTGCCCTTGTTGGTGAATGTAAGTTTGCACATCTTGTTCTTATAAAGATGTCTCTTTTCAGTTATAATTTTGATATTTATTGGCATATTTTACATTGAAGCGGCATGAAATAATTCTTAGTCTAGCTTAGGAGATAGGTCAATTATGATATTTGCTTCTTATGTGTAGAGAGTTTTTATAATATCTTTTTAGAATGGCATGTTTTAAACATTTTAGAAGTGTAAATGCTACGAAATATACTCTACAAGTGTCCATGCAGTTTCTGGTGTTCTATTGGGTAAAATATAGTGTCTGATTAGGTACACAATGCATGTATATATATCTAGGTAGCACAACTTATATTAATTGCTCTTGTTCCCTAGATCTTTGTGTTCTTCTTTTCTAGCAAATATTACTAGGAAATATCTCTAAATTCAGTGTTCAGACTTGCAAAGACAACTTTGGAGCATGCAATATCCACAGATGAGTCCCTTATACTATACGAGTAAATAATCAACTAGGAAAGGAGATACCCCACAAAAGTTGATTCCTCGAGGTTACTCTTCTTACAATGGTGTTAACTGGTGAGTTAGTGGATCGAGGAACCTAGTGGAAAGAGGGATTCACTTTGGATGCCAACTATCGAAGGTCACCAAGCTATGGTAAGTAGTGACTTCAGAGATCGAAATATGGTCTTAAATGTAGAGAAGGGCGACTGGAAGAAGGCTGCAATTCTGACATCAACCACAAAAGTAACAGATTGGGGAAGGGTCATGAAGGTGGTCACTGAGAATTTCAAATTGAAAGGTACTGTGAGAGTTAAACCCTTCGATGATTCTAAGGCAGATAAGGGTGGAGAAATGGTACGTGTCGTGCAACCAAAGGCTTATCACTGAAAGAGCTCTAGAGGTTCAGCTTGTAGGGCTTCGGTTTAAGTATTGGGAGGAAGAAATCTTGTAAAACTTAATTCATTCCTTGGGTGGAGTTCTGGCAGCATGCAACCTCCGTAACCTTCACGTAGCGAGAGTGAGAATAGAGGGCCTCAAACATGAAGAGGTTCCCAAATGCATAAAGATGCTGGTCGATGGTGTTTGGATTAAGGTGCGGATTCTTTTGGAAGTTGAATCGACTTGGTGGAGGAAGTGTTCCAAGGAAGAAGACGATGACATCATCCATGGCGGGGTTTCACGTAGAAGGGAAGGAAGCCAATCAACATCGGTTAGTGACTAGGAGTTGAAGGAAATTGAAGAGACTCCACATGGGGCTTCTCAGTTGCTTTAGTGATATCTTATCACCTATTGCAGCACTTTTTCTTTTTCTATCAATAAATTTCTTCTCTTGATTCTTCAAAAAAAAAAAAGAAAAAGAATCTGCAACAAAATAAGTATAAACAAACCCCATATCAAAAGATAGAAATCAACATATATATGAGAAGAAAAATAAGAAAGAAAGCATACAAAACATAAGGGCTGAGCCCTTGTTTTGGTCCTAGGAAGAACACATCGAACTTCACCCACTCTCCATTGTTGGATCCTCGTATCTCATTCTTCATCCTCAGATCAAAAGACTCCATTTTGGTTTATTGTAACAAAACAACGTCAGGACTGTGTTTTCTCATAGTATTTATAACCACCTCTCTCCTCTCATCTCTCAACCCTCTTCACAATCCTAGATATTAACTTCATCTTCTGATTCTCCCCTCCCCTCCCTTCAACAGCCCCTCTATTCCTCTTCAAGTGGTCCTATTATCTTCCCTTCACCCTCCTCCCCCCTTCTTGATATTCTCTGTTATTGACCATTTTTTCTTGCTCTTCCCTTCTGTTCTGTTTGTACTGTTCTATAGCCTTTCCTATAACCTCTTCTCCTCCTAGGAAGAATAAGCCCAATGTCTTGCCAACCTCTACCTGTCTTTCTATCAACTTGTCTATATCCACTTTCCTCCTCCTCAGTGGTGATTCTCTTCTATCTTCTTTCCCTTCACTTTCTTCTTGATTAAATCCTGTCTCCCCCCTTGTTTCCCCTCCCTGATTTCACTCTTTCCCATCTTATCCTCCTCGATCTTCTCCTCCACTTCTTACTTTTTGATCCAGACCTCTTTACCCTTGAAGCATCGACTATCTTCCTTACACCTTCGTCTTCAACCTCTGAGCTTCCTTTGTTTAAGGAATTAACAGAGACTAGAGATGTCCAAGGAGAAACAGAGATGATCGGAGATGAAGGATCTACTCTTACCTCATTGTGCGCCCTCACCTTTGACTGACGAGAAGAAAGTGCAGCTTGATTAGAAGGCCCCTCTTTCCATTCTGGATGGGTGGTTCCTTCCTTCTTTAGCTAATTGATTCATTCATTTCTACATTAAGTAATTCCTCAATTCCTTCATTCACATTAATTCATTCATTCAATCAAGCATTTATTCATTCCATTGTGCATTCATGCATCTGCATTCTACCATTCATTCATTCATTTTTCTTGTATTCATTCTCACATTCATGCATGCATTCATCACTGAATTCATGCATTTCATTCATACATGCATTCATGGTTTCATTCATCCATCCATACATTTCCTTCATTAATTCATCCATTTGGTCACACTTTTTGGTATTCGTTCATTTGTTCCCAATCCCTAAACCCACCCCAATTTGTCCTCACTTACAACAGCAAGTTGCATCCTTGTTTAACAAATATAAATTCCTTCCCTAGACCTAGCCACCTTTATTCCTAGGAAGTACCTTAGAGTTCCTAAGTCCTTTATCCCAAACATTGAGGCCAAAACCTTCATAAGTATTTTGGTCTCCTTTGAATCATTTCCTATCACTACCATGTCATCCACATATACAATCAGTGCTGATAATTACACTCCACTTTTTCTATAGAATAGTGTGTGATCAACACTGCTTTAACAACACCTCACAGTTTTCATTGCCTTGCACAATCTTTCAAACCACTCTAGGCGATCAATATCTATAAATTCAGAATCTTCCACACCCTCCTCATTTGCTAGAACACCCCCAATCCCTGATGGACTTGGATTACCCATATTGGTTCCATCGAAATTTGATTTGAAAAGACCACTGGGAGGAGGACACCAATTAGGTAGAGAAGTGTCTACAGTTGGAGCTGAACTTGCAATTTTCTTCCAATTTCTAAACAAATTAACCATTGAGAAATCTTTTGCCAAACAGATCCAAAGACTTTTGCCATTACACTACTCTAATCCGAATCACCTCCAAGACATTGAGAAGACTTTTTTCTCTCTTTGAAAAAGACTTTCCCATTCCTTTCTATCCAAATAGTCCAACATGCAACAACCCTAATCCTCTGCACCAAAACAAAGATAAACACTATTCCCAGATGTGATTAGAAAAAGAGTAGGAAATTAGTAAATGGTAACTAGTGTCACCCTTAGCCTTGCAAAGAACACACCAGTGAGGAGATAAATAACTATAAGGCCTCTTTCTTTGAAGGAGATCACAAGTGTTGGCTCTTTCTAGGATTGCTTCCTAGCAAAAACTCCCAACCTTCAGAGAAATAGGTTTACACCAAACTTCTTTTACTAGAGAAGGATGCCCTAACTGATCCAATGGCTGGAGTAGAGCTTTGAAGCAAGAAGCACAAGAAAAAATACCAGAGGCTAACAAAGTCCATGCTATGCTATCAGGTTTAGTAGGACCTAGAAAAATTCCTTCAAGGATATTAAGAAGAGACAAAGTACTATTTAATTTTAACTCCTTAATTACTCTTCTAAAACCCAGATTCCACCCAATGTCTAGCGAAGCTTGTCAAAAATCCAGGCACACCTGTGAGACATGTTTGGATTTGCATAAGAAACCAAAGTGGGCACAAGAACTAAGTAAGAAATCAACATAAGAATAGAGCAAGAATCCAAACTAGAAGTTCACCTTGGCCAAGTTTGCATCTCATGAGCCTCATAGTGGTTTCTTTACTGTGAGTTCTTCTCAGAATTGCCTTCCTCAGGTTCTAATCTCAAGGAGGATATTATCAACTCCCTCCATGACCATTTGGAGCAATATAGTAGGGCTATCCGACAAGTAGATTTTGGATGCACCCCTTCTACATCGTTTGCCTCTTCTTCAATTAACTTTGCCTCTGGTTTCCATGTAGCTACTAATACCCTGGAATCCCCGTGGATAATTAATTCCTCCGTTACCAACCATATGATTAGTAAGTCAACCTTTTTCCTTCCTACACCCTTCTCTCTGGCAAAGATAAAATGAGGTTAGCTGATGGATCCTTCTCCATTGCTGGTCAATGATCTATATCTTTGCCTTTTGGTCTTTCATTATTAAATGTTTTACATGTTCCAAAGTTGCCTATTAACCTGTTGTCCATTAGCAGTATTACACATGCCTTGAACTGTTCAGTAACTTTTCTTCCCCACTCTTGTGTTTTTTAGGATTTGGCCTCCAAGAAGACGATTGGTAGAGGGAATATGGCTGATGGCCTTGTAGTCTTCGGAGCTTTGAGTTAGTCAAGTAAGATCGAGTCATTTTGTGCTACCATCCTTTGGGCCATATGCTTTCTTAAATCATTGAAGTACTTGTTTCTAGATTTGTTCAAGTATGTGTCAGTCAGTGATTTTAAGTGTCAAGTGTATCAACTAAGCAAGCATTATAGAACTTCATTTTCTTTATGTAATAAAAGATCAAATTTTCTTTTTCACATTGTGTTTTCTAATGTCTAGGAATAGATTAATATTCTAACTGAAAATGACTACAAATATTTTATCTTTTTTATTAATGACTTTTCTCGATATACTCAGGTTTACCCTATGCACTCACGAGAAGAAGTCCCAAAACTTGTGAAAGATTTTCAAAGTATGGTCTGCACCCAATTTCAGACAGAGATTCAAGTTACCCTATGTGAGTGCATAGGGTAAAACCAAGTATATTGAAAGAAGTCGTCAATAGGGGAGATAAAGTATTTGTAGCCATTTTCAATTGGAATATAAACCGGTTCCCAAACATCAAAAAACATAATGTGAGAAGGAAAGTTTGATCTTTTATTATGTAAAGTAAAAGGAAGTTGTACAATTCTTGCTTGGTTGACACACTTGACACATAAATTCACTGACTGACAAAAACTTAAAATTATTTGGATCCAAGTAATTGAAGCACTGAAAAGACATATGGACCATGTCTCCTCTACCAATTGTCCTCCCGGAGGGCAAATAGTAAGAAAAAAAGACTGGGGAGGAAAGGTTACTTACTAAACAGTTCAAGGCATGTGTAGTACTGGTAATGGACAACAAGGTAATAGGCAACTTTTGAGCATGTAAGACATTTGATAATGAAACACCAAAGGGCAAAGATATAGATCCTTAATCACCAATGGAGGGGAAGGATCCATTAGCTAACCTCACTTTATCTTTGCAAAAGAGAAGGGCGTGAGACTAAAAAAATGTTGACTTACTAGTCATATGGTTGGCGGCACCGGAATCAATAATCCATAGGGACTCTGTGGTATCAATAGCTACATGGAAACCAGAGGCAAAGTTACCTTAGGAAGAGGTAAGCGATGTAGAAGGGGTGGGTCCAAAATCTACCTGTCGGATATCCCTACTTTATTGCTCCAAATGGTCATAGAGGGAGTTGATATCATATCTTCCTTGAGATCAGAACCAGGGGGCAATTCTGAGAAGAACCCATAGTAGAGAAACCACTCTGAAGCTCATGAGATGCAAGCTTGGCCGAGGTAAACTTCTTCTGGATTGGGTTCTTGCTTTGTTCTTGAGTTGATTTCTTGCTTAGTTCTTGTGCCCACTTTGGTTTCCCGTGCAATTCCCGACATATCTAACAGGTGTACCTGAATTTTTGATAGTTAGTATACCACAACTTTACCATCTACCTTTTTTTTTTTAATTTTCTTCTTTTTTGCTGAACTAGTGTTACCCTTCATAGCTAAAGCCATGGTCCTGCCCTCAGAAGGATTCATAGAAGATCTCCTACTCTCTGCAAAAGAAATCAATGCATACACCTCTTGGACATATGGAAGATACTTGCTACCCAAAATCTATGCCCAAAGGGCTCATACATGGGTTAAGGCCTGCCTAGTATGAAAGCAAACACCTGTTGTTTGGAGATCAACTGTTTATAGGCTTTGGCATCTTTCCCATTATCCCATTCTGTGTTTTGGTAGTAGTCCAACTCTTTCCAAACTGAAGTGAGGGCATAATAGTAAGTTGATAAGCTTCTTTCTCCTTACTTACATGTTGATGGTTATGCTTGTAACTGATAAATTCTAGCATAA